CCCCCCCCCCCCCCCCCCCCCAACCCCGGAGTGGGTCGTCCACCTTCGTGTGCAGGTTGCCCCACAGGTACTCCGATGCCTGCCCGCCACCGTGACCGTCGTAGACCGCGGCGAATGTCTGCGGCCAGAGGTAGGTGCCCTCGAGGCCGGGCAAGGCGAGGTCCTGGATGACGATGGACCGGTCCTCCATCGTCGGCCTTGCGTGGTTTGTTTGTGTTGCGGTACGTTCGTGGCGCGTGGGCGGGATTGAAGGAGAGGTTGAAGAGGGGGTGAAGTGGACAGAAAGAGACAAGGTGTGCATGTGCGTGAGAGGCCGACAGACAGACAGACAGACAGACAGACAGACAGACAGACAGACAGACACACTGAGAGAGGGTGGAGGGGTTGAATAGGTGGGTGAAGTAGACAGAGAGTGTCAGAGAGAAAGTAGAGAGAGTCAGAGACGGAGTACTGCTGTAAAGTGAACACGGTACGAATAAGAACGATCGATCGACAGCTCTCCGCCAATACAGGGAGGATAACCAACACAGAGTGGCTCAGAAAAAAAAAAAAACACGACGCCACAGCAGTAGCCCAACCTAATACGCAGTAGTTTTTAAGAATCCATGTATGTATGTGTGTGTCTTTCGATGCACCACGCTGGATATAACCAGACTTCACCTCGAGTCTCGAATTCGCGGCACGTGCGGCCGCCCTCGCCCCCCCCTCCCCGATTCCCTTCCTTTGAACCGCCTACACATGGGCGCGCGCGCTCACCTTGCTCCCATCCGCTCGCTAATCCCGTAATCGAAGCGGTTGACGCTGAAGCCCGTCCGGCCCACCAGGAGGTGGTCTCCAAGGGACATCCGTCTGTGCGACACGTACGGCCCGACCTTTGCACGGGCAGGACGACATTGGCGGTACGCAACCAATCAAAAGGATTGCAGCAGTTTACCGGAAAATAGTGAGATTTCACGTTACGGGCCAGGGTCAGCTCGACAAGACAAAGTGAGAGCGGCGGGATGGGAGGCATCGCATCCTTTCATGGTGCGGGACCACGGGGATACTGGAGACATGGGGCGAGGAGAGGATCAACCCGCACAAAAAGTTACACACATCCGTGCCATTGCCGAGGCAGGGGGGCATTCCAGACAGCGCGGACTATAGAAGAGGGGAGGATCACAGCAAAGCAAGTAACACCAATAACGATTCTCTACCCGCCACCCCGCAATCCGAAAACAGAACGGACACCGTTTCTGCCCTTGCGAATTCTTGTGCGCCTCTGCATGTCTCGTGGGATTATTTTCGCCGCATTTTTTCCCTCCGGTTACTGTGATCACTTTCTAAACACTGCCTGTTGTCCCTTTGGTACAGAAGCCGCCCATACTGCGCGCATCTGTTTCCCTCCTGCCTTCCCTTGTCGAGGGATTGCTTTGGTCTCTTCCCTTGCATACAGGGGGGGACGGGGCTTGGTTGGGGAGCAATACTCTTTAC